GTGACTTGTGTCATCCAGGCAGTCAATTCTCTTCATGAGTGACTTGTGTCATCCAGGCAGTCAATTCTCTTCATGAGTGACTTGTGTCATCTAGGCAGTCAATTCTCTTCATGAGTGACTTATGTCATCCAGGCAGTCAATTCTCTTCATGAGTGACTTGTGTCATCCAGGCAGTCAATTCTCTTCATGAGTGACTTATGTCATCCAGGCAGTCAATTCTCTTCATGAGTGACTTGTGTCATCCAGGCAGTCAATTCTCTTCATGAGTGACTTGTGTCATCCAGGCAGTCAATTCTTTTCATGAGTGACCTTGTATCATCCAGGCAGTCAATTCTCTTCATGAATGACTTGTGTCATCCAGGCAGTCAATTCTCTTCAGGAGTGATTTGCATCAAGTCATGAAACAGACATTTCTGAGCTGAGATGTTCAGTGGCTAGAAGCTTACCTGCCAGTCTATGGTCTGGAAGTCAAATCTGGGTAGATTAACAGAACAAATTGATCTTGGATTCCAGGTCGACACAGCCTATAATGACTACCAAGAACTTTTCAGGGAAATAATGGTCAAAGTTGTCAGCTGACATCTTTAAATACTGACTAATGATGATGAATATCACTTGTACCTGTTTGATTATCTTTGAGGTGTTAGTTCTACAGACTGCAATCTTGGAAGAGAAAAAGTACCCACCCTACCCCGTTTCGTGATTAGACAGACATTTTTGGCACCCAACCTGAACCTTTCCATGGCATGGATTGAAGAACAATGTTGTAGAGAACATGCAACTAATTTTTCTGTTAAAACTTTGTTTTTGTTGCAGTATTTTCTTGGGAGGGTTTGGAGTTGATCGATTCTACCTCGGGTTGTGGAGAGAAGGAATTGGAAAACTTCTCAGCTTTGGTGGACTTGGCGTCTGGACTTTAGTTGATGTGATTCTCATAGCTGTTGGATATGTAGGGCCTTGGGATGGCTCACTGTATATATGATGTGTGCCTGAGAAGTGTACATGTGTGCCTGAGATATGTACATGTGTGCCTGAGAAGTGAACATGTGACACAATATAAATAAAAATATATAAATTTGGTAATAAATATATGACTGTCAAATAAAAGCATTTTCAGTGTCTGTTACCTTATCATAACTTTTGTTGTTGCTAGTTTTGTTTTACTCCAACATTGCCTGTGGTAATATTTAGAAGATGCAACAGTATGGTTTTGAAAAGGAGCCAGTCATAATTTTGGGGCCATGGTAAAAGAAGAGGGAAACTGGAATATGTTATGACCACAGGAAATATTTGTGGACGGAAAGAGGAAGACAAAACATGAATATTATTTTGACGGACTTTTGTCAATGCAGAAAGAGAGGTGTCAGCATATGAGCTGATAAATACGGTTGGAGATCGAAGATTGTGGAGAGGCGTGACTACCCGCACCACACTTCTTCTTTCCTGTTGGTGACACCAAGTGTTATAGACTTAACCCTACACCGATGCAACTGTTATAAATGCTGACATCACACACTAAGTGTCGATTAGTCTATAAACATGTGGGCTCAGCACCATATGTCTCAAGCCAGGGAAACAGCTTTGCTCCCCCTGCTGCAGGGCTAGTCCCTACTGCTATAGCGGCCCATGGAGGCCAGAGCTAATTGCCTGCAGATCATTGCTATTTGTATTGTATTAATGATCTTTCAATGTTGATGTCTGGGCATCTTCTTCTTCCTCAGCATTCCAAGCCCATAAGGTTCCTTGCTGCAGATATCACCCGTCTCCATTCATCTCTCTGGTTGGCCATCTCTTTCCAGTTGGTGACACCAAGTGTTTGCAGGTCTGACTGGACATTATCTCTCCATCATCTTCTTGGTCTGCGACCATTCATCTCCCTTGTGTATAGTCTTTACTTCTCTGTCATCTGATATTCTTTCAGTATGCCCCAACCATTTCAGTTTGTCAGCTCTCATGACGCTAGTGATCAGTGGTGATTTAAACAAATTATGAATTTCATTATTGCTTCTCACTTTCCATTACCTGCTGTTTGCATCTTTGATGGGTCCACAGAATCGCCGTAAGAAACCCTGTAATAAGGCTTCATCTCTTTTAGTTGCCCACACCACACATATTTAAAATTTGTTCATCATAATATGATGAAATCTAACAACTATGACAGCAGCACAAAATGCACTAGTAATGCCATTTAAAAAAAAAAAAAACCACCACAATAAGTGACAACAAACACGAAGAAATTTTAGTTCGTTTTTATTTCATTCATACAGAAAGGAAACTGAAATTTATATTTAAAAAAAAAAAATACATTAACAAAATATGACGGGAGAAACGACAAAAATGTTACACATGAGATCAGCAACACTGACTGACTGATAGGCCAAATGTCCCAATGTGACGAACAAGGAGCCACACGTGGAGTGGGACCGTGGAATGTGCACTTCTGGTTTTCAAACACTGTTTAAAACGGAAAAAAAATATATATAAATGCAGTTAATCGGATAGTTGATGGGGAAAGCCTACAGGCCTAAAATCTACTGTGACCCAGACGCAAAAGAACTGTCTCCTGACTTGCTGATCTCTAAGGTATCCTTGAGTGTAATTTAAACAATTTTACTCATTAAATTACAGGGGACTGCTTGGTCTCGAGGCACGGTGTCCGCAACGAGTGCTAGAAGCTCTGGGTTCAATCCCCGGTAAGGGCCGGGATTTTTTCACGTTGACTTGGATTTTTCCACTGGTCTCTGGATAGAGAGATCGGACACCCGTGTGCATTGCTGCGCACGTAAAAAATCCCTTGGCAGTTTGGAAATTGAAAAGTATAGCCTAGCGGCGCTGCTTGGGCAAAATTTTGAGTTAATCTACACAAATATTTCAGGATCCTTGCTGGTGCTAGAGAGCTTCTTTGGACTCAGACATGAGTTGAAAGAAAGAACGGAGCACTTATGGGTTACTTACCTGTGTGCCAAGATGTTGATCCGTTGTTAAAACTTAAATTACACGATGTTGAAGTCAAAAATATGACTTTAACTTGTAGCTGTTTTTTTTAAGCAGTATATCAGCAGAATGGAGATTGACTAGTAACACTACTCTTATAGTAACACTACTTATAAGCACCATTTTGGTGACATAAACAGATGACGATGATGATGAGAAGACAATTCTAGATCAGGATAACAATGCTCTTCTTTCAGATACAATAAAAATGTCCCTAGGTAAACATACACCACACAGATATGCAAGTGAAACTACTGCAATGACTATACAAGCAGCACACTTGCATCTGTCTTCCATTATGAAGTACGGTAACAACATATATACTTATATGAAAATTATAGCCACATGCAACATATAAACTTCTCCTAAGTTTATCCCACGGAAGCTATCAAAACTAATGACAGCACACCACACAAAAAATCAACACGACAGCAACTCCCATATAAATGAAAACTGTTAGCAGTTGTCTGCTTGTACAAATACTGTAAATATACACTCTACTTGTAATAAATTATTCAACAATTCTAGCGTAACACCCACCAAGTCTGATGTCACTAAATGCCAGTGTGTCTCAGCCTATGATTTTCTCCACCCACTTGCTTTGATCCAAATTGTGCCATTTCCACACAGAAGGTTGACAGCATGGTATGCACTGCTTTTGACTAGGAATATTACATAATGAAATCCCAAATGCTTCCACTCAACTCTCCCACTATTTAAATAATGCGGGCACAAAAAATACACTGCACAAACTGACTGCCTGGCAAATCTCACTGTAGTTTGGCAGGCGCCTTACTACAGACTTAAAACTGACATACAATGATGAAGCCACACAAAACTGAATCATTTTCAAAGAAATACAAAAATGAAATTGTGCAAAGTATTCTTTGTGTCCATGTTATTTAAATTGAACAACAGGAAAATACCGTTTTCAATCTCCTACCATTGTGTAAAAGCAGTGAGAATAGTATTTTTCTAAACTGTTGGCCATGCAAATTGAATTCTGACACACTGAGAATCAGGGTTACTATCCTCTACAACTCCACAGATAATCATAGAGAATGTTATGCTTCTACAACAAAATTAATTCAGCTTCCAACAATTCCACGTTTACACACAAAAACAGACAAGCAAAGACATGCAATATAATTACAGAATGAATTTGTTCTTTACTTTTTCTATAAACCCTTCCCTACCTCCAAATTAAAAAAAAATTGGCAGCAATTTTCTACACATCTTAATTAACTCTTTCAATACCACGCCACTCACTGTTGGTTTAAAAAAAAAACCATGTATACTTTCCTGGCTCTCTCCTATGGCTGACAAATGATACATGTAGCATTTCTCAATTCTTGGTTTTGTTCCTTCTGACTCAATGTTGTTATATTAACTTCTTTTGACTTCAGCATTAGATGCTGCAAATTAGAATCTCAAGACAGAGAGAGAGAGAGAGACACACAGCTAAATGAATGACAGGCTGGAGACTCTGGGCATAAGGCAGAAGTGTTGGCAGGGAACCACAAGGCCTTCTGGCATGTTTTTATGAGAGCAACTTTTGCAAAGCACCTCCTTCATGACAATGATTGCTGGTATTTTTGTTCTCTCTTCAGTAATTGTCAGATGAGAAGGCCAAAGGCCTCTATAAAGTCTGTGGCACGACGCATGTCTTCCATACAGCTTGGTTTTAACGAGAATGCCAAATGGCCAGATCTGGAGTCTCACTACTGCAATGCAAGAGACATGCCTGCAGCACATGGTCAGTAATCTGTGGTGCCTGCCAAAGGGGGCAAAGTCCAGAGTCCCCAATCTCTTGTACATTCGGGTGCGGAGTCTGCTGTGTCCAGTTTGCAATCCAGTCAAAGATGGCCTGTTTCTTTTGTGTAAGGACTTATCATGGTGGGTAGTGAAAGAGTTAATACTGTAACCCCAAACAATTCAACACCGATCATAGAAATGTAGCAAATGCAAGTGAGGTGGAATCTAGATAAAGTCTACACAGCAACACATTATGTTTTCTTCTTCAAGCAGTTGGATAGCCAGTCCAGGCCTTCGTACAGGCCGTCACCGCTGGTGGCACACGTGGCCTGGATGAACCACTGCCTGTTGCGGAGTGAGTGGAGTCCTAGCTTGTCTGTTATCTCTGCGGCATTCATCGCGTTTGGCAAGTCCTGAAAAGTGCAATGACAGAAATACATTTAATATGAAAACGAGATTGGTAAAGATATACAAACAGAAAATGAACTGAACAGTTAATAAACTAAACAGTCTTCTTTTGCTTCTTCACTGGCTGTAAACTGGCGGAAAGTTCTGCTTATCCCACTCCTGGACTCAGATCTTGTTCCAGAACTTGAGTGTTTCGTGCCCATCTGTTATACAGGTCTGACTTATTTGTATACAGACTGCTGGTTTTTCATCTCTCGTACAGGTATATTCCAACTTCAAAGAACACACCTAATTCGCCTTAAACTACATCAGGGCTATTTAGCTAAGTTTGCAAGACCTCTGTGGGGCACCATTTAAATAGCCATGAGCTACACGCTTGTAAAAGGAGCAATGGGTCTATTCTCTTTGCTCTTAAAATGTGGCTCCGAAACACCCTGGGATTCAAGCCAAGTAGCCTATACATATATATAAATGTTTGAAAGAATTAGGTCATAAATGGACAGTGATTGCCACAAAGAAAAATGAAAGTTATTAACATAACATCTCCAGGGAAACATTTCAAAATTAAGATTAATGGCCAGTATACTAAACAAAATTAATAACACACGTAATAAAATAAATAAAAATGTGTGTGAGTGATTGGCTATTCCTTATGCATAACAATTAACATGTCCTGCGTAACTGGCTAAACTTTATGATTTCCAATCAACATATCCCATATGATTGGCTCCATGCATACCAATCACCATGTCTTATGTGACATCAGTCAACATTTCTTATGTGACTGGCTATTTATTCTCTTAGCATACCAATCACCATGTCCAATGTGACTGGCTACTCTCTTAGCACACCAATCACCACGTCCAATGCGACTGGCTACTCTCTTAGCATACCAATCACCACGTCCAATGTGACAGGCTATTCTCCACTGCACACCAATCTACATGTATTCTCCTTATAATAAAACCAAGATTTGTATATTAGACCTAGGTGAATGTAATAGACATACGATTTTATTATTTTCTTGGTAGGGCAGCAACTGCTGTGAAATTCTGGAACAGGAACAGTTACTGCTATTGAACAATTAAGACGACCGCTTCAATGTTAGTCACAATAAGCCACAAACAGCAGCGACAGACAGAAAGAAAAATGAGGTATAATGACAGCACCTGCCAGCATATATTCTGAAATAAAGATCAATAACCATATCAACAAAACACAACATTTTCACAGAAAAAATTGTTTTAGGGTTTTCTATAAAAGATAATGCAGGGATGGTCCCTAAAATCCAGCACTCACCTGTTTGTTGGCAAAAACTAAAAGAATGGCATCTCTTAGTTCATCCTCATTCAGCATTCGCATCAGCTCTTCTCTGGCCTCACCGACTCTTTCCCTGTCATTGCTGTCTAGGACAAAAATTAAACCTGTGGAAAATAAATGAAAATGGGTCAATGCACACTCACATATGAAAGCAAAGCATGGCAGCAATAAGAGAGGTAAGAGGACAGAAGGAATAAGACAGTAAAAAGGACATTAGTGATGCCATTAGAAACGAATGGCTGCGGCAACAGGGCAAGAAATAAATGACTACAGAAATATCATCAGAAAACAAAAGACTGCAACAATAGGCTTTAAAAAAAAAAAAAAAAGCAGGACTGTGAGAATACCATTAAATACCACAACAAAGTAATGCAGACAAGAAATAAAGCACTGCAGGAACACCATAATAAATCAGGACTGCATCAATAAGACAAGAAACAACCCTGCAAAAATACCATAGGAAAGAAGGCACTACTTCATCCTGCTACACAACAATAAAGAAGTGTTTTCTAAGGCTTCTGTTTCATCATTACCAGCTCTTGTTGCAGATATCACCTGCCTCCATTCATCTCAGTATGAGGATGTACGTACGTACGTACATATAAATATATATACACACACACAAAAACACACATATGAGGTAGTATGTATATGTGTGTGTGTATACACACACATATATGAGTGTGTGCATGTATGCTTGCATGTTATTAATGTATGAGTATGTTTTTATAAGTGAGTGTAAGTATTTATGTATGACCTTGCATATATATGTATGTGTATGCATAAATGTGTAGGAGAGAGAGTGTGTGTAGGTATTAATGTGTATGTACACAAGCACATGTGTGTGTACAATATATAGGAGTGTGGTTGTGATAAGAATGCACAGTGGGTTTCTGTGTGTATGTATGTACTACATATATGAGTGTATGCATATGCGTGTTAAAGAACAGCTAAAGTAACTACTTTTAATGTACACTGCTCTAAGTAAATTTACTTCATTAAAGAAGCATACATACCTTGAGTGTTTTGAAAATAGTGCCGCCACAGAGGCCTGATCTTGTCCTGACCACCGACATCCCACACTGTGAAGCTGATGTTTTTGTATTCCACTGTCTCAACATTGAAACCTGGTAGTAAAAGAAGCATTAAACCACTCAGAAGTTTATCATATTAACCCTTTGTTTCAAGCAACTGACTACACATTCACTGGTTAGTCCATCAATTGTTTTGTTTCTCTGACCGTCTCCTTTGACTAACAGTTGTTAGAACATATCACTGTATCCTAACTGTTTGTTGTCTCCAACCTCAATAGGGGGAGGGGGTGTCAAGCAATTCTGAAAGTGAGTGCATTTGTACTTGTAATAATCCGTTATACTTACATTTTGTTTTAGTTTAATTATAACAAACATTATTTTTTAAAACTATTTACTAAACAAAACCAGGACATTTTATTTCCATGAGCAGTTTGTACATCCACCAATAAAAATATAACAACCAATACAAATAATATAACACACGTTTAATTATTGATTAATAACACATTCTGACTAAAACGTATCTCCATATTTTTTGTTTCTATTGTAATGGAATTAATCTACTGTCCTCTTTTTAATCACATTTTTTATGGTGTTGAGTGGGGAAAAGGGGGGGGGGGGAGGGGGGCTTGGGAAAAAGGTTGAAGACTACTGCTTTAGTTGCTTCTGATCCCATCCCCTAATACTGTCACTGTAATTTCTTTAGATGTAAACGATGCTTGCGTTGAAGTAGAACTCCTTGGTGGTATGAAAAGACACCCGAAATTCTAATCCTATACTTTTCGTTTCCCTGAATACTTCCATTGTTCCTACATTGTACATAGTTCTAACATTCCAGGTGCCAATTCTGGAGATTATCTGAAGTGAAACGAAAAACGCTGATGATCCTGACTCCTTTCAGCTTTCTTTACACCATATCATACTTCTTCAGCTAAAAGAGCCTCCCCTCATCTTGGTTGACTGGGTTTTTCTCTGTTCTATCTTTAATTTTTCCATGGTTGGTTGTTTTTTTTGCGTGTGTGGCTATTGTTTTAAAAGACTGAGATAGCCAACCTTAACCCTTGGTCGCCTCTCACGACATGCCTGGCCTGGTAGGATGCAGTCTTACTATACTTTCCTTCCCAGGGATGGCAGACAGGCACAATCTTATTTTACCTCTATTAAAACTAAACTTATTGTCTTTCAGAGTTAAAACATCTGGAAAGAAATGCTTGAAATATTTAAAATTTCCTGCAGTAGTTGTTTCTAGAGAGAAAAACAATAAAATCATTATCAGATTCCTGTTGGGGGAAGGGCAAGCAAGTCAAAAAAGTCTTTATTGTGGTGTTTACTTTGGAGCAGGAGTGCACAAGAGTCGCGAAGCTATCAGTTTGCTTACAAATAAGCATGATCAGTAAAATGAATGTGCATGCAAAACTCTAGTTTGGGAAACAGAAATGGTCTTTTCACTAGAGTTTACAAAAGCTAAATGCGAAAAAAAAAAAAAAAATGAGAATAGTCAAATAATTTTGTTTTTCTATTTACTGGATGTTATAGATTTAACCCTACACTGATACAACTGTTACAAATGAAATGGGTAACTAGTCGACCCACCCTAAAATTAGTATTAGAAAAACCTTTTGGGAAAGTAAAGGTGTCTAGCAGCATGCTGACATCACACACTAAGTGTCGACTGGTCTATAAACATGTGGGCTCAGCACCATATGTCTCAAGCCAGGGAAACAGGCTTTGCTCCCCTGCTGCAGGACTATTTCCTACTGCTATGGCAGCATGTGGAGGCCGGAGCTAATGGCCCGGGGATCATTGCTACTTGTATTGTATTAATGATCTTTCAATGTTGATGTCTAGACAACTGGACCAATTTCTTCTTCCTCAGTATTCTGAGCCCTTCAGGTTCCTACTGCAGATATCACCTGCCTACATTCATCTCTTTGGTTGGCCTTCTCTTTCCAGCTGGTGATACCAACTGTTTGCAGGTCTGTCTGGACGTTATCTCTCCATGACCATTCATCTTCCTCGTGTATAGTTTTTACTTCTCTGTCATTATTTCAATATGTTCAAACCATTTCAGTCTATTAGATCTCATGATTCCAGTTATCAATGGTGATTTAAACAGATTATGAATTTCGTTGTTGCTTCTCACTTTCCATTTACCGTTGTTTGCATCTTTGATGGGTTCAAAGATTAATTGTGAGACGCTGTTTTCGAAAGTTTGTAATAAGGCTTCATCCCTTTTATTTGTGCTCCAAGTTTCAGGGCTATATAAAATGACTGGTCTTAACAACATCTGAACCATGGCGATACATATTTTCAAAATGGTGGTTCCCTGAGTAAACTTAGTTAAAAAGTTCTGCCCTACTGTGTTTGCAATTATAAAAAAAAGAGCAACCAAGAGGTTTTGAAAGAGGCGGGAGACCGAAGACAACTTATCACAGACATCAGAAGGAGACAGTCATCATTTTTCGGCCATGTTATGAGAAGAGGGAAATAGAACATGTTGTGACCACTAGAAAGATTTGTGGAAAGAGAGATAGAGGAAAACAACGAGAGAAGATGCTTGACAGTCTTGTTGCATGGCATGGAGGTGTGTCGGCACACGAACTGATACATGCTGCAGGAAATCGCAGATTATGGAGAGGCATGATCGCCCACGCCAGTCGGCAAGGCACCTGATGAAGATGACTGTGTTTGCAATTATAACACATATGCAGCTGAGATAACCATGCTAACAGCAGAAGAAACATTCCCAAAATGATTAAACAGAGTACGTACCAATTGTTGGAATAGTTGTAACAATTTCTCCGAGCTTCAATTTGTATAAAATTGTAGTCTTTCCAGCGGCATCCAGGCCAACCATCAGTATTCTCATTTCAGCTCGGCCAAACAGGCCTTTAAACAAATTAGCAAACAGATTTCCCATTGCGCTCAAGTTTCTGTCTCAATAACCTGAAAAAGAAGAAGAAACCCCAAAATTTGTAAAGCAGGAAACAGTTTTCAAACACAGAATAGTATACACATGTGCAGGAGCATGCACTTGATAAAAACAGCCAATTACAGTTACTTAATATTTTACCAGCAGTCGGAAAATTAAAATATACAGTGAACATCAGGGGAGTTGTTTGGAGTTGAAAACTAACCAGATTGGGATTACAAACCAAAGTTAAAGCAAAACCCATTATTTTATATTTATCAGCATAAAATACAGACCCCAGCTGTTTCGCATCAGTTATCCATGTGCCTAGATAGGCACACGAACCAACCCTCTATCAAACAGTTTACTAGTAAATAAAATGACGAACCATTACTGCATCGGAAAATTTCTATAAACTATAAGCATAAGGTAAACCTTGAGTTATGTTATTTTTTATATTATTAAGAAATGTTTGCAAACAATTTTTTTTTTCAAACATTAAATTAGCAATGAGAAAAAAAAAATCTATAAAGGCAGAAGGTGAGTTGGGAAGGGACAGGTGATACTAAGGATTCCTTCAAAGTCAGAGTGCACCTGCTAGTGAGGCTAGGAAGCAATAGTCTCCATACAAGTTAGCCACATCTGTAAAAACAGATGTGCATGCACAATTCAAGTAAGTTCTGGAACAAGATTTCAGTCCAGAGGTGGACAAACAACCACAACTTTTACAGCCAGTGAATACATAGAAGATAACTATAATTTATGAAGCATAATAACTAACTGCATGTGCTGGACAAGGTAAAAACTGATACCAGCAGTGAGATAACTACAAATCCCAAGTGCTCCCTTACTCGACCAGAAACAATTTAATACCCATTGTTAGGATTAGCATAAAAATATTAAAAAGTAACCTTTAGATACCAAGATGAATATATATATATATATATAAATAAATATATATATAAAGTTAAAATTACCATGATAAAAGACATACTATAATGTACACATGTGTACATTTTAGTCAAGACTAACTTCTTTTCAAATCTTAACAGTTATGGTAGTATAGTTTTCAGTGTGCTGGTGATTAACAATGGTTCAATGTTCCATTTATTTCCCTCATGGACCCAATATCAAATCTGTAACATGATCTAACAACACATAAATGGGTACCAAACACTCACATAACAAACAAAAGAAACCAACTCAAACAGATATTTGAATATGGATCTTTAATAAAGTGTAAAATATCTAGTGACAGGCTGAAGGCTAAAGTACAAATGTAAAAATTATAACACGAACGCAGTTAAATCCTCACTTGCAGTAACAAGTTAATGATAGAAATCCTTTGGATTTTGTTGTTGTTATGAACAGCCATTACAGGCTTTTTTTTTGTTGGGTGTGAATAGCCATTACAGACTAATAATGAAGTACACATACAAATTATTTTACATTATTAACCAACAGTACAAAAATCAAAATGAAGTGTTTGTAGTATGATTATTTATATTCATAATTACAACTGTAGTAGTGTAACCGGCTGGCTGACTAACAATGACCCTAAATGTTTCTGGCAAAGATGATGGTAGCTGGAACCCTTATATCTTCTGTATTCATCCAAAAAAGAGTGGTTAGCATGCTGTGTTGTGACTTACAGCTAGGCTGCAATATCTACTTTTCGTCCCAAACTCCTAACCTTTTGCAACATGCTTGGGCAAAGGCGCTACCCCACAATGGAGGCCACCTCAACGAATACTGTACCATGGTACGTCTGAATCCCTGTGTGAGTTCAGGAGCCCCATTTTGGTGAAAACAAGAATAGACCCATTGTCTCTCGAACAAGCATGTTGTAAGAGTCGACTAACTAGGGGTCTTCCTTCAAAGTTGGAGTGCATCTGCCTGAGAGGCGAGGCATCAACAGTCCGCATACAAATAAGTCAGATCTGTATAATAGATGTGCAGCCAAGACTCAGGTTCTGGAACAAGACTTAAGTCCAGAGGTGGAAGAACAGCCAGAACTTTCTGCAGCAGAATTCAAAGATGAACTGTACACTTGAAGAGTTCAGGATCTAACCTTTAGATTCTAATATGACAGCAAAGTATATATGACAGAAAATGAGAACTGGCAAGGCTGCTAAAGAAAAGTGACACACCTCCATATAGATATTACTCTGGTACCGAGTTGATTGAATCATCTCCATATCAACCATTTCCTGATTTATGGAAGCTCCTTTCAGGGTTCATTATATGAGAGGCAAGACATTAGACTTCTGCCTTTTATCTCCCAAAAAGGGGACAGGCCCTTAAGAAACTTGTGCCAAGCTCTCAATACATACTCATCAATGGTTGGATTTTGCAACTAAGTATGAATTAACAAGTCTCATTCTCTTAGTCGGTCACTTCTCACAACGAACAAAGAAAGAACACACAATCAACAGACTGCAAAATTTATTGCCTGGTATATTTCATAACACAGGAGAAAATCTACATCCTTGTGTGATAACTTTATGCCCTATTAATAGTTACCTTTGAGCGTTAATAATTTAGGCTAAAATGATTTATTTGCTCCAGCTTATTAAACTGTTGGTGTAGTACACACATGCAAGATACAGCAAAGTATGCCAGGCAATTAATTATGCAATCTATTGTCTGTGTCTTCTTTGCTCAAGTGTAACCAATCATCGCCTTGTAACACAATCGGTGTATCCGACTTGAAAATTCTTCTAAGGAATTCGCCCCCAAACAACTAGCCTTAACTAAAAGCAGTACACTATTTTCTTACATCATTATCAATAGAGAATATGAGCTTTGAAAAATTACATTCTAAATGGCAACACAAAAATATTAAGTATAGTTAATATGCTACACCAGGAAATATATGGCAAAGACTATGAAATAATATAAAACACTGGACTAGAAATACAGTATCTCAGATCCCTATTGGTACAATTGAAAAACAAAACAGCTTCAACAAGACATAAAATGAAAAAAAGTATAGTGTATTTTTTTTAAGATACTGATCCAAACAATTGAAAGTGTAAAATTTTTTTTATTCAAATTAAGCATCTGTTCAAAACCTTGTAAGAAACTATGACACGTTAGTATTACGTTCAGTCAGTCAACTTTTGTTTTTAACGCAAAAGAAATGGAGTTAACGAAACAGTGAACTTAAAATCTTCGATTGTCAAAATGTTGCATAAGAGATGCCAGGGCAAACAAACAGGTGATGAATAGTATTATTGTGATGTTAGAATCTACTGTGGCAAGCTGATTATTTCATGATCAGTCTTTCATGAATGTATAGGATAGCTTTCATACTGTACATCAATGCTTCACAAAAGATTCACTATTTTTTTTTCATGAAGTTTCTTTTAGTCATATAACCTCAAATATTACAGTGAAGTGTCACAACACTTGTACTACAAACACAGCCTATATCAAGTATCAAGCTGAGTTTTTATGTGATGTATCTGGGTAAAGACAACAGAAATCTCACTGGAATGTGTGAATAGAAAATACTGCGACTAAAAGGGCCAGAAAAACTATGAACTATAAATAGGTCACAATAATCACTGTGGTTCCTACCGACACTTCTCTGCAGCCATCCCAAAAACAGGTTCTTAACCAGAAGCCTGGCAACTGTAGACGCCTGGCAACTGTAGACAGAATCAATGCTTTCTTCAAAGTCAGAATGCATCTGCCAGAGAGGCACGGAACCAACAGTCAGCAAACAAAAAAGCCAGATCTGTACAACATATACGACCTAGAACAAGCCCAAAAATCCAGAAGTAGGTAAACAACCAATGCTTTCAGCTGGAGTTCACAGCAGCGGAAGCAAAGAATAAATGCTGTTAATGTGCTGGCTTTCCAACATTGGTACGAGTTTAATAATCAGTGGCCAGATTTTGACCTCAGAACAAGCATGATTTAGATTTGACCCAACCTTGTATACTGGACACAGGATAATTTCCAGATCCTTCTAGAAATGGTCTTAGGAAAATAAGGTACTGAAGTAGACACTGGTTATCCCACCTAATTATGCAGTATAATCCTGCACAAAAAAAGGAGCATTTTAAAAACTTAAAATGAAATGCATCGCTACAAGTCTCTGAAATACAACACTAAGAAACTAGCAGAGGAAGCCGAAGAAATCCAGAGTCCCGGTCAGCTTCTATAAAGCTCCAGAAGGTTGAAATATATGATCACTAAGCTATTGCATCATCGCGGCATACAAGTCACCAACAAGATCGATTTCTCATTAGTTTGCATAAAGATGATTTTTTTTTTTAAATAAAGGAAATAATCACTAAATACAAATGGAGAAAATAAATAACTGCTTTTCTTAGCTTTGACCAAGAAAACAGGGGTTTTGTTGATACAGTCGAGGAGAGCAAAGTAAGGTCATCATAAGTTTATCAATGATGGCACAATCTCTCCCCCCCCCCCAACATCTTTTGATCACCCCCAATATCTTTAAAAAAAATTTTGTTCAACAGCCAAACCCACCATGCAGCTGCAACCAGTACCAAAGCTGTCATGTAAGCGCACTGCCCAAATACAGCAGGTCACCAAAATCCAGTACAAGTCAGACAATCATCTTCTTTGGGACAAGACGAGAGAGTTACTATACTGCAAAAAAGCTTCTGCTATTTGCAACCACTGTTACTGAACGCAAAATTGCCTGATAAAACCATAAACAGCTAACAAATGCTGGGTTTGGTCTATGATGTCCTGTAAAGAAGTACAAGTGTTTCAATTTGAAATGGCCATGGTAACCCCGAGGCCAACCTTGCATTTATGGCAGAAATATGTATGGTGTAAAAAAAAAAAAAAAAATATGATCTGTGTATTTCAGTAATGAGAATACATTTTTTTTGGGCGCTTCAAAAAATGCTGGCGTAACTCTAGTAATGCATTTGATGAGACACTGCAAAACATGTCAGACGGTAAATAGTTCGTGTACGCATCATGGCTTGTAGGTCACGTTTGCCATACCTGACATGTGTTAATATCTTTTAAACGGTTCAACACTAACAAGATATTTTGGGAAAAAAAAAACATTTGAAAAATTAAGTACTACTTCTAACCACATGTCAATTAACAACACATTGGTAACATTTGGAAGACCGGATACCCTACAAAATGTTTACAAATATATTGCATAGTGAATAATCATTGTAATCAAAATATTTTAGAAAACATAAGCTATTGGCGGAATATGTATTAATTCTATTTATTCTTAACATTTGCGGATAACCAGTCAAGGCCTTCATACAGTCCATCTCCACTTGTGGCACAGGTGGCCTGTATATACCAAGCCCGGTTTCTCAAGCTGTGTAGTCCTAATTTGTCTGTGATTTCGGCAGCATTCATCGCATTTGGTAAATCCTGTGGGGAAAAAAATATATATTTGTTTAAAAATAAGCTGCACACCAAACCAATAAAAACAAAAGTTTCTGATAATTTAAAACTTTTACAATGTTACACAAGGATGATTTTTATATGGCAAAGTGGTTAAGCTATCTGCCTCATGCTCTAAAGGTAGTGGGTTTAATTTAGGACCTTGCTCTTCAGTTTGCGAGCTGTGTCCTTGGGGACCCTTGCTAGACCTACAAACTGCAAGCGTTTTGCAAGTGTTTATGAAGAGAGAGAGAGCTATATGGGTAAAAAGAACCTCCCCTAGTGTGGACAAGAAAAGAAGAAGTGGGGGGTGGGGGCCCATGCTCACCACTCATTAACAAGCAAGATTTGAATTGCGGGTACTATGGTCAACCTGCCTCTGGGGCTTGATTATATTTGTAGTTATGCCACATGTTTTCCATTTCATAGTATTTTGACTTTGGGCTGTCAGTTTTCCTGATTGGCAATCGGGCAAGTATTAACAAGCAAGTTGAAAAAGGAGACTTATAAAGGGCATGTTGAAATCGGATGTGTTGGGTCAAAAGGCGCAGACATCGCAGTCAAGATTTAAACCACAACAGCATGACAACCACATTTTTAACTCTTTCAGCCCAAAAAAAAAACACATCACATATCCACAGGTCTCTACCTAAAAGCCAAATAAACGTAAGATGCGCCGATTATAAGTTTCTCTTTATCGCCCTTAGAGCTCTGAAGCCTAACGCCCCAGACAACGCAGATAAAACCAAACACAATCTCATCTCTCTTGTGAGAATCCTCGACTTGTTTTCAGAATCCATGCAAACAGATTGGTTTACAAGTGAAGTTAAGGACCCCTTGCATACTATATAAGTACTGGGCACACGAGGCTAGACATATAGTTTTTTAGGCCAACAGGCAGTTGATGTGCTCAGCATCATGTCAGCCACCTTTACTTCTCAGGACTTTACCCGGTGCCCATTTATGGTTGGGCCGGCGTGGAAAGCCAACAATTTTTTTTTTAAAGAATTCGACTCAATGCAGATTTAACTCAAGACTGTCGGGTCAGCATGCAAGCATCTAGCTAGCTGCTGTGCGTCCACAGCTCCAAGCAAATTAATTTACTAATAGTAAATTACAGAATCAACATTACATTCAGCAGATACCTGTTTATTAGCAAAAACTAACAGTTAAATTACAATATCAACATTACATTCAGCAGATACCTGTTTGTTAGCAAAAACTAACAGTTTTGCATCCCTCAGTTCATCCTCGATTAACATCCGATTGAGTTCCTCCCGGGCTTCCCCCACTCTTTCCCTATCATTGCTATCTACAACAAATATCAGACCTGAAGATGAGAAAGAACAAAAGACTACAATTAAACAGCAAAATACAAACTAAAAGACTATTTCTATAAATAACAAATACACCTGAGATTTATAACCACACAGAACAGAATGACAAAATAGCTTTCAGCAGGTTTTTTAATGGGGTCTAAATAAATTTTATTAGTAGCAAGGCCTGTACAGAACCTTGCCGCTATAGGTTTTTTTAACCTCCTCTCCGTCTGTAGTCAGATCTGCCTTTGTTGTTGTTATATGCTAATCTATATACATCTTGAATCCACTGGTACTGTGCTGATCCTTTTTCTCAAGATGCCACCATCTAAGTTTATTATCCCAAAACCATGCTAAAAAAAAAAAAAAAGAATAAAATACTTTACCGCACTCAAGACATTTCTTAACCACTTTCTTAAAAAATGAATGATATGTTCCAATTCTGCTGGTGCCTAACTGAAAGTCATCATAAATTCTGTATGGACTAAACATAAACAACATACGAGCACTAGTGTTAAAAAAGGGGAAGAATACAACAAGATTGAGGAAAACATTCAGTATAACTGCAACAAGCAAATTCCTATCTTCTATTTCCACAATGCAATGACATACCTTGAGTATTCTGAAAGTAATGTCTCCATAAGGGCCGAATTTTGTCTTGGCCACCCACATCCCACACGGTGAAGCTTATATTCTTGTATTCCACCGTCTCCACATTGAAGCCTGAAAATCATTTTTTATCAAATAGATCAATGTCAACACAGGCTTCTTAAATATAAATATGTGAAACAAATATTAACTGACACACATTAGTAAAAAAAAAAAAAACCTGGCTACATAGCGTACTTCAATGACCTTAACTCCCAGGTCAACCTAGCCTTAAATGCGTACCAGGTAAATTCCTATGAAGTAAAGAGGGCTCCTGTGATGTTATCCGCACCACCCACCAGGTGCCAACTGGTCTAGCCCTATATCTGTAACAGGCCTGAAGGCATGGTAGAGGGTCCTTTACTACTGTACTTACTAATAGGGTACCTCTGTCATCTTTATGAATCCCCAATGATGAGATTCTACCCCATGTACTACTGTCCAAACACCATTTGAAGTTCTGTTTAAAAACAAACTGTCCACTGTTGGAATCAAACCCTATTACTCGAGGATCATGACATTGTTAAAAGCATTCACTAACCTCAAGTCACAGAGCAGAACAGATACTGATTTATGGCAGGGCTATTCAATTGAATACAACATAACTGGCAGTGATCTGACGGCCATTTGCGATATCAGCTGGCCAGATTCCGCCCGCAGGCATTCAGTTGAATAGCCCTGGTTTAAGGGTTTGAAATTCCAAGCTTATGCACCATGATTTGTAGTAATTTTCTCTCACATTACCCCATTTCCTTTAAAAATGTTGCTATGCACGATAATTAAGTAAATGTATACAAAGGTATACACTGTTAGCATGAAGGATATTTACCTATTGTAGGAATTGTTGTGACAATCTCTCCCAACTTCAGTTTATACAGGATTGTGGTCTTTCCAGCAGCATCAAGACCAACCATCAGAATACGCATCTCCTTCTTTCCCAGCCAGCGCTTGAGCAGACTACCAAAATTCCCCATTGCTATTTACTGGAAATCAATTGAAGAAACATCTATGGTTATTTATAGACAAGCAGGTTTATATGCAGAAAAAAAGAATGGAACATACTGTTGAAAAAAAAAAACACAAAAAGAAATGTATAGTTATTTGACGGCACATTTTTATTACTTGACGGGAAAGCCTGTATGCCTAAAAACTATTAATGACTCAGATGCAAAGGACCTGTCAATTGAAAGGCTGAACCAAAAGGTATTCTTGTGTGCAATTTGAACAATTCATTAAATGAAATATAAAAAATTTGAAAGTCAAAATTTTGTTCTTTTCAGCAGCTTCTTTTTGTTTTTGGAATAGTATATAATGATGATAATAAAACATGATTATAACAGCAAGTACCATTATATTTTGAACAGAAGAAGCACTAAGAAGACTGTTAATATGCTTGTATGTTTATAATGCACAAAATAAATGATACTATGTTACACAAAAGGATAAAAATTGCATTTTATGACAACTGTGTTAATGTTTGTGGCTGAAACTCTTGTTTAGCAGCCCAATGGCTTTGAATACAAACCTTTACAGTGGCGTGTTTAAACAAATTACACACACAACATGCAGGAAAAGATACTTTACTTTTCCATGTACTACTCTTTGGTGACAATGTCTGCAGTATGACGACAAATGTGAAGGCATTACCAAAATAACACACTACTACATCCCATCCCTCTCAGAAACTACCTTGTTATTATGAATACTTTCAAGTGTACAGAGGAAAGCAAACTATTTTGCAAGGTCAGTGCTAATAAACCCCATTTGTAAAAAGCTATTTGTGTGTGGGTTCCGCTAAACAGCACATTGTTGTAAAAGGTGTTCTGTTGGAAGTCAGAGCACCTCTGCCCGACAGGCCAGCAACCAACAGTCTGCTGACAAATAAGCCAGATCTGCAAACAAAACTCAGGTCCTGGAACAAGATTAAATTCCAGAAGTGGATGAACAGCCATAACTTTTTGCCAGAGTTTTCAGCCGGTGATGCCAAGAAAAAAATTTCAAGTTACTCAAAATATTTCCTTCATTATCCTCACGGCGGAAATAAATCTGTACTCATGCATACATTTCATGTGTGTATGTATAATCGTGTCTCTTTAACTATTTATAACTAGTAACAAGAAGTACTTATTTTGTTCACAAATATTTGTTTCTGACAATAAATGTGGATATATAAGCAATGTATTTTGCATGCTAATATGTACATTGCCATGCTCATCATAAGAACACCTAATGTCTTAAAACTACTGAAAACTGCAGTATATAAACTCCAAAATATTTGTTGTTGTTGCAAGGACAACATATTTTGTCCATATTGTTCCTCACCCCACAGACAGACTGTAAAGCCCAAACCTGCAGACTAACAAGAAAACAACTATGAACTACAAGCAGACTACGAATCAAAGCCTCATAATGTTAGCATGTGTATATTTGTAAAAAGGTTTGCACTAGATTTTTTACTAGGCAAAGAAAACAAGCAACTGTTGTGGAATATGCATCTAACGAACCCGTCAATGATGACTTTAAGATAAGCAGTTATTTTTCAGCCCTGCAGTCATGCACCAAGAAATCTTGGCGGCGGCATCAAAATCCAAATTTATTTGTGAATAAAACAGAATAAACTTGGCAAGAGGGTGGATAACAGAGTAAGTATATAAACTCTTTCGACCCCCACGCAGGCGCTGTTTTTAACTCATTGAATCCAAAGCATGTGTTATATGAAGTAATATTCAGATAACAACATTACAGAATACAATGACTTCAAGTGAAAACCTGGACAGAATAGGCTACTGTACAAGACCAGTGAGGCATAATCAGTTTAAAAGCAAATCCTGCAGTTTTCCCAGAAAACACACTAAGCGATGGTTCAACCCCCCCCACCTGAATGATTTAAAAAACAATGTAATGTAACATTTGCTCATACTAGGTTTCCAAAAAGGTACCAGGAAATGCTATGGGAAAAGAGGCAGCCACTATGATGTGATAATGACCACACAGTTCAATAACTGCTGAATGGTGTATGAAAATATAGGGTCAGCAATATATACACAATGAGTCTGAAGGGCCCATTAATTTACTTCAAAATTACTAATAAACAAATACGATACAATAATTGCAGATAGCTTGTAGCAAATCATCAAATATCTGATCCCATAAATTCATAGCCATTAATATCACGAAAATAAGACTCCTATTTCTCAACACTGTATATACAAACACACACACACATACGTACCTATTATGCTTTAATCTTGGTGCAGCGTTTGTCAAAGGCCTTGAGACATTAACAAAATAATTTGTTTTACAATTGAAATAAAACAAATTTATTTTGTAAAGCTTGACCGCAAAACAGACGAAAGCGCGAAGATAACGGGCACGGATATATAAAAGCCTGTTACATTTTACTATGCAAGGTACAAAAAAAAAAAAATAAAGCGGTTACATTTTACTACGCAAGCTACAAAAAAATAATAACGTATTTCTTGATGCTTCAAATAGAAAATTAAGCTTATACCATTGACGAGTATGGCCAGTCAGTCTGTTTTCACCAAAAAACTACACCATATCGCTAACCATAAAAAAAAAGACAATTGTCTTCATCCAACGTCTTGTAAAAGTAAAAGACTCCTTTCCCCGCCCGCCCTATGGCACAGTGAGTATATAGCAAGCCCTATATTTTGCAGACCACTCAACGCTCGAGGCTGATATGGTCAATATTACACGGGCCGCCTTTTCTTCCCCAGTAGTCATGGGGACTGAGGTTTAGAGAGAAACAATCTAACTCAATGAGGATTTGCACCCACAGGCCTCAATCCTGCAGACGAGAATCTAGTCACTATGTCACAATGGCTTTCCAAGGTTTGGCAGAACTTTGATTTCAACTGTGTCATGCATGTAATATTTTTATACATGCATTTTTAGCTGAGGAGGAAATGACTATCCACTATCTAATAATACACTATTGATTCGCCAAGACATTTTTACTGCAATGAAAAAACCCAGCTGAAGTTAATCGAAAAGGCAGATAACACCGCATGTAATTATACTTTTAAAACAGGCTGACTGAGTAAGGTATAGAACCCTGAACATTTTTTTTAAGGCAAACCAGCTCACTACACAACACACTACCACGACTCAATGCGATTCAAAATTTACAAGAAACAGTTAGTTCTAGAATACTACATTCTCTCACTCAGGAAATAGATTTTTGCAATGCAAGATGAAATGACAACAGATGATAAACCACACCACACCAGCACACCCTCCTCCAAGGCATGTATTACAATCTGGAAAAAAGCTACGTTAATGGAAAATGGTGACACCCATGACAGACTTCAATAGAATTTGTAGAAATATGTATAAGGAAGCTTCATATGAAAACCTTAAATTCATAATTAAGAGCAGCTGTTCCGTGGTGACCTTATTTATCTACTGTGTGTTCATGCCTTGTGTCACGCTGGGACAAACTAAATTATAGCAACATAACAAACAAAATGGCAAAATGTTTCAAATCTCTAGTGCTAATTTCATGCTTTCAATTGAGGCCCTCTTGTAAACAAATTTCTGAATTTGATTTTATCATCTCAAAATTTAACTAAACATCTAATATAAACAAAGCAATGATATTGCTGATAAAGGCTAAGCAGCATGCACAGCCAGATTTTGTTGTTGCTTATTTTCCAATTTATTCATCCAACAAAGAAATTTGTTTTGGACTTTAAACACTGTTTTCAAACTGTGCCATTTTGTTTTCAGGTGTAGTATAATGGAAATCCTGTGGGGAGTGTCCGTGGAAGTGCTGAGATCATGCATTGTGATGTTATCAGCAGAACAGGTAGCCATTCTATTCAGAGCCATATGGGATAAAACCCAGTGAAATTAAGTCAATTGCCTTGATTTTAAACTTGACTGCAGGGATGTGTTAGGCCAGCATTTTACATGACTAAACATCATAAACAATTAGCAACTTGAGTATTAGGCCAGTCAATTACTTCATAAGATTACAGCATGGCTAAAGATCTAAAGTGGGTGGGAACAGTTCTGCAGCAACTAATGACTAAAACGAGCTGCTGTGTTGGTTAATTAGGTCACTCCAATCTTTTATCCTTAGTGTTAATGGCTGTAAACTCGAGGGGAAAGTTCTGGTTGTTCATCCACTTTTAGATTTTGGTCTTGTTCCAGACCTTGAGTTGTGTGTGTACATTGATTTTACACATCTAGCTTATCTGTAAATACTGAGAATTCCTTGCCTGTCAGACAGATGCACGATCTTCAAGGACACTCCCCTAATCTTTCTGGCGACTATACGGCCACCACGAGAGTATCTATTGCGCCGCTACGCAGAGTGGGGCTTAACTAGATGGCTGGGACTCACAAGTAAATAAAATTGAGTAAGCTCCAGGAGTTGAGTAGCTGCTGCTCATGAGTCCCAGCCATCTAGTTTAGCAACGCTACGCGGGAAACTTTCGGCAGTGACTTCAACTCAGCGGAAGCTTTTCCGTGGTATGCTGTGTGGTTGCCGGAAAGACGTCCGCAATTTACATGTGACTGAGGCCCAGTTAGGGTATATTTTCGGCTTCAAAAATGTGGGACCGTTATTCGAAGGATAGCCAACCTATACTCGTGTCTTCTTCTTTTTCACTAATTAAATTGTCATTTTGACTTTGCAACCAATTTAAATATGAAAATAATAAAAGTAATTAATTTTAATGATCGAAGAAGAAAAACAAAAGGCTATCCTCCGAATAACGGCTGCAAAATATAATTTCGAGCTGCAGTCACGTGTCAGTTGTGCACTTCCCGCGACTTAATTTGCTGTTCTCCGACAACAACCGCCACGAGCAGCAGCTTCCGCATCTCCTGAAGCTTTGCTCGTGAGTACTAGCCATCTATTTTAGCCACATTCTACGCCGCAGGACTCGTGGCGATAGTCGCAGGAAAACCGCACATTAAGCCACGTTACTGTGGCTCGAAAGGA